TACATACGCGGATCTACCGCAGGTCGCAGAGGATGAGCAGAGAGCTGCGGCACAACTCCACCAAAGATGGAGGAGCCAGTCAGAGGGTCAGAACCAGCAGTGATGGGACTGGAGTTCCTCTTTAAACACCAATTATCCATAGCAGCTTCTATACTTCTACCCTGACAGGTTCCATGGGAAAGGTAATCATTGGAGAATGGCCCCGGGGGGGTTCTGTAACAATTCCTTACATCACTCTGATGTTCAACACTCAGAAAATGATTTTTTGGCACCTTTATCATGGCTCTCGTTATTATTCATCGTTAATTTATATAGCGGCTTTATCTCCTGTGCCTGTTTATTAGGTAAGTGTTACAAATAGGTATGAATCACACAGAGAATACAAAGCCCCAAATATATAAAGTGAAGCCAGGAGCAGAGGAGAGGCTAGTAAATGGAATGGGCTCTTTTATATTAGCTGTTGGGAAGGGTTGAGCTGCATTTTTACCACCCTTCAACCACGCCCCATTATAGCCGGAAAAGCAGCGGGCGGGGGTATACACATACCCCAGCAGGGATCATACCCCTATGTCCTGTTTGGCGGGCACTACCCGCTGAATGAGTCGCATTCAAATGAATGGAGCTATGCTGCGACCACGTACAATGCACGCGATTGTGCCGCGGTGGTCCACATTTTGGGGGTTAAAACAGACGTGAAGAGGCAATACAATGTTTCTTCACTGCCTGACAAATGCTATCTGAAGAGCAATCAGGATTTGCTTTAGGGTCAGTTCACACTATAAACAGGGGTGTATTTACCACAAGGCATTTGCCTAGGGCGGCATTTTTTCAGGGGGGTGGCATCATTTTTCTTCCCCCAAAAGAAGGGATGGAAGAAGGGACACACACAGGACGGGGACCAGGTGGGATCTGAGAGAGGCTGCGGGCTGCTTGATGGTGTATGCAGAGCCTGATTCTTGTTCCCGGGGATGTCCGGAGCCGTGAAGGTGAGTGTCTTCTCTCTCGCCAGGGTGGGGGGTTGCCAGTGTATGGGGCGGGTGGTAGTGGAAGGCTCTCTCGGGTGGAGCGGGGGTTCTGGGATGGGGTGTTGTTGGTCAATGTCAGGCTCTTATCGTGGGGAAGGGGGGTGTTTGTCAGGGTCTCTCCGTGGGAGGAGCCATTTTTTTGTTGCCTAGGGCAGCATGAAACCTAATTACACCACTGACTATAGACACGCAGTCCAGATGCGTTCCGGATGCGTTTTTGCATGCACGTTTTTTGGCACGTTCTGATGCGTTTTTGACGCATTCCAGTGCGTTTTTATGCATTCCAGTTCATTTTGTCCCATCTTTTTCTTAAATTTAAATAGGGACATGTGCGTTCCAGTGCATTTTTGGTGCGTTCTGGTGCAATCCAGTGCATTTTTGGTACGTTCTGGTGCAATCCAGTGCATTTTTGGTGCGTTCTGGTGCAATCCAGTGCATTTTTGGTGCAATCCAGTGCATTTTGTGGTGCGTTCTGGTGCAATCCAGTGCATTTTTGGTGCAATCCAGTGCATTATTGATGCATTTTACTGCATTCCAGTACAGTTCTGTGCATGAAAAAGGCAGACTGTTCTACTTTTTTTTTCAGCAACCGGAACGCACTGGAACTGCAAGCACTGATGTAAGCTGCAATATATTTTTGGTTTTGGGTTTAATACTGCTTTAACAACTACCGGTAGTTTTGAGTTACCAAAAAAATGATGTGGCGCTAATACCAAAAATATATATGAGCAACACACAAATATAAGTGGGAATTATAAGAACATATTTTCACATAAATAAGAAAGAAATGATAAATAATCAAAATAAGCAATATACCCAATTTTTGCTTTAATATACCCAAACCTCACAGGTGCTGCCTATAATGTGAGATATAAAATGTGAAATGTGATCTCCCCGAGAGCAAAAAGGTGAATAACATAAATGAGAAATATATAGCAAAATTGTCAGCAAAACGTGTGTAGATAAATCCTGATAAATTCTATGAGTGGTGAAAAAATATATCCAGAATAGTCCACAAAAGGGACTAATGTGCCCAAATTGACCCTAATTGGATCTATAAGTGATAGTGAACCATCCAAATAGTCCAAATGGGACTAAAACATCAAATGTGCTTCAGTTGAAATAAATGATGACTAACGCAGGTATTCGCATGCACAGAAAGTAATCCCCAACAAAACCAAAAGAAACAATTCAAATGAAATATCAAGCAGTGTCAATAAACAACACACACATAGCCGCATGTGTAAAGTGTATATAATAAATCACATGACATGAAAGTATAAAGTCACTAAAATTGCGTATAAAAAATTTAATAAGTAAAATAAATAAATGTCCAAAATAATGTAAAACCACCATATATTCAAATGGAACAAACACCCGTGAAGGTGGGTGATAGGTGTGTATGGTGATAGGAGGGTATCCACAGATGACTGAAATGCACGCTCACCTCCTTGCCTCGACCCACACAGGGCCAAAACACTTTTAGGATCACTACTCTGGATCCTTCATGTATGAGACTCCTCTGGAATCGCGTCACTCTCCCCGTGGTGGTCTCCCCCTCACAGACAGGCTTAAATGGTGGCAAACCTCCTCTCCCGGCAGATACGTGAGATGTGGCCAGTTATCTCATTAACCACATGCCGCCCAGCCACTGTAGAAATACAGCGGCAGGGCGGCACGGCTGGGCAAAACCAAGAGTGTTTTTAAAACAGGTAGGGGGCGCGTGCGAGGCGCGCCGCCGCCCTACCTGTCCCGCCGATCACGGCCACGGGTGTCAGTCGCCGGGTAACAGCCGGTCATTACCGGCTATGTCCCGGTGATTAGCGGCAATCACTGACAGAGAGCACAGCTGCAGTAGCTGTGCTTTCTGTCAGTTCCCTGACAGCTCCTGACAGGCTGATCAATGCTCTAACCAAGATATCAGGACTGATATCAGGCTGATCAGGACAGAAGAGTTTATCTGTCCCGATCAGCGATGTTCCCTGCAGTACACACCCCACCCACTAGTAAAACACTCCCCTCACACAGTTAACCCTTTCACTGAATAATAAAGTTAACCCCTTCCTCCCTAGTGCCATTAGTACAGTGTCAGTGGGTTTTTTTTTTTTTGCACTGATCACTGTATTGGTGTCACTGGGGATGTCAGTGACCCCAAGTCAGTTCCCCCCCAGTGTCAGAATGTCCGCCGCAGTCCCGCCATAAGTCGCTGATCGCCGCCATTATTAGATTAAAAAAAAATAAAAAATCCCAGTATCTTTCCCGCCATTTGTAAACGCTATAACTGTCACATAAACGAATTAATTTACACGTATTGGGTTTTTTGTAGCAAAGACATGTCGCAGAATGCATTTTGGCAGAAATTTATGACTAAATTTGATTTTTAAATTTTTTTTTACTGGACATGTTTTATAGCAAAAAGTCCAAAATATTGTTTTTTTTCCCTCAAAATTGTCGGCCTTTTTTTATAGCACAAAAAAATAAAAACCACACAGGCGATCAATGACCACCGAATGAAAGCTCTATTTGTGGGAAAAAAAAGGATGTAACTTTCATTTATGTACTGTATTGCATGACCGCGCAATTGTCCGTTAAACTAGCGCAGCGCTGTATAGCAAAAAAATGGCGTAAATTGCAGTATCTGTACCATAGTTTGTAGACGCTATAACGTTCACACAAAGCAATCAATATACACTTATTGGGATTTTTTTTACCAAAACATGGAGCAGAATACATTTTGGCCTAAATTTATAACTAACTTTGAGTTTACTATATATTTTTTATAGCTGAAAGTAAAAAATATAGTTTTTCTTCAAAATTTTTGGTCTTTTTTTGTTTATAGCGTGAAAAATAAAAAAGTGCACAGATGATCAAATACCGCCGAAAGAAAGCTCTATTTGTGTGAAAAAAGGACGTAAATTTCGTTTGGGTGCAGCATTGCATGACCGCGCAATTATCAGTTGAATTAGTGCAGCGCCGAGTAGCAAAAAGAGGCGTGGTCAGGAAGGGGGGTAAATCCTCAGGAGGGCGAGGGGTTATAGGACACAAGTAAAAGCTCCCATTGCATAATACCATTTATTGTAAAGAAGTAAAGCAACAAATCTTCCAAAATATACACTCACATTTTCCTATATCTTGGTTAGAGCATTGATAGGAAAAACCTCATGTTCTGGGTGTAGTTGCATGGGTGTACAAAGATGGCGTCCGAACCGGAAGTGTGTCACAGCGTGCCTACGCGTTGCGTCACGTTGGTCACATGACTTCCTCAGGGCTTTGAGTTGCTTTGTGAGTTACCCCGGTTCACATCTGTGCGGGTGGTGCCACTGTGGATCCGCACAAAAATCCGTGCAGACGCACCACCTGCACAGAGGAATGCGGACCCGCGGGCAAGTGCCATTAATTCTAATGGCACGCCGCCCGCACTGGAAAAATCGCAATCGTACTGGGAACCTCAGTTCCCGTGCGGGCTGCATTTTCCGAAGAAGTGCAGGGACTTCTTCCCTGCATGTCCCGGGGCACAGAAGTCCAATTAAATGAATGGGCTCTCGTGCCAGCACAAAACATGTCCCGCAGGAACGCGGAGATGTGAACCTAGCCTTCCACCCCGGTCACACCGAGTGCGACTTTCCATGCGATTTGCCATGCCATGCGAGTTGCAAATCGCATGGCAAGTCGCACCCTATTGTCCGCACTTAAAGCCGTCACATCGGTGCGCTTCCAACTTGGTCAGAGCCGCGCCAATTTCTAAAGTAGTGCCTGCGCTGCGTCAGGTGCGACTTGCGTAGATATCTGACAAATTGCACCTTAAGTCGGAATGACATCTGACTTTGAAATCGACCGATTTCACTGGAAGTCGCACGATTTCAAAGTCGGATCGGTGTGCCCCGGGACCTTAAATGCCTGTGTACATCAGCCCCCAATGCGCGGTTGTCAGAATTACCTCCATCGTACAATGTATATGTTCTCTGCCCGATACAGATTGTGGACACGTTCTTCATCGGCCGCTATGTCCTGCTGTCCGTCATGAGCGTCATCTTCCTGGCCAGCGTCTTCCTGTCTCTGGTATACTATATTCTGGAACCCGTATACGCCAAACCCCTGCGGAGCCACTGATGTACCACAAAGCAGCCAACGCGTTCTGTGATGTCGAGGTATTTTATTCATGTTATTATATTTATATTAATATATAAATTGTGTGATACAAAATCATTTCTTGTACATACAGATGTGTTTTCCATAGGAACACAAAAGATTCTTTTTTTTTTTTTTTTCGCACTAAGACTCTCTTTCCCGGCACCTATGAAGTCACAGTATGGATTTCAGCCCGGTGCGCTGAGCTCAAACCCCAATGAGAGCCCAGTCATTGCCTCGCTGGATGTAGGAAGCAGTGTAACGGAACCGGACCCTGACTGCACTAGGGTATTTCCGTTAGACTCCCGCTTCCTCGTCCGAACACAGATCCACGGACACCACCGCTGACCATACAAGACGAGACAGCACCAGACTTGTCTTAATCAGGAAGTGGACTGCTTTATTTTAACATAGATACAAGATATATACACAGGGCGGGGAAATACACACCCAGACAGGAAACACATCAGCAGCCCGTCCCATCAGGGGGAAGGGCTGCTGGAAATACCCCCCCCACCAAGCCAATACAAACACATATATACCATACTAGTTTACTCCCAAGCAAGACACACAATAGAACAATGGGATACACCATGTGGCAGTAGACAATACACAAACCCATACATCCCATATTAGTTTTGCTCCCAAGCAAGACACACAATAGAACAATGGGATGTAGCCTCATGGCAGTGAACAATGAACACCCCCCCCCCCACCCCAATATTAGAACATTCCACCCTGTACCCCTAACAGGCACAGGATGACTTACACATAATAGGGATATGGGGAGCTGAGACGGGCCTCCCTCCTACCTCTCCAAAGGGGGCTGTGTTCCATGGGCCCCCCACCCAAAGTGACTCCTGTCACAAACAGCTACAGCTCAGCCGCCGCAGGCATGATGCTAGGTGTTTTCTCATCCATTCACCAACTCACTGGACTTCATGTGTTTATATGTTTTTAGTAATTCTTGTTTTCAGAGATTACTGTATTGTTTACATTGATGTTTTATAACATACACAACCGATTTGTCACTTTATTTGTGCTTATCCATTCACTATTGCACTTGTCACTTTGCTGACACTTGTTCACCAATTTTGCACACATTTCAATTTTTGCGTATTATGCACTTTGTCACTTAATTTTTAGCGCTGCATATATATTTTATGTTCCATTTGAAGATTGAGGGATTCATCCTTTATGCTAGCAGCTACCTTTAGTTGTTTTGTGCGCTCACTCTTATTACTTGTTTTTATATGGATTTGCGCTCTGATGGTCCGTTTTGTTGGGTATATTTCTTGGCAGTCAGGGAAAAGGTTTGTCTTGTGCTGCCCCCTCTCCGGCAGCAATGTTGGGGATGTTTAAAAGCTACTTGTCTGGTGGGCCGCCATTGCTGATTTCCTTTTGAAGATATTCGTATTTGCTAAGCCAAGACCCGGAGCGAGAATGCAGCATGGGAAGGTAGAAGTCCTGGCCTGCACCCTTCTTGTCAGTCAGTGGCTCTTTTTTTTTTTTTTTTAATGTTGTCCTCTGAAGGGCAGTCTGTAGGGCAGGGGTCTCCAATCATTCTAAACAAAAAGGCCAGTTTATTGTTCTTTAGTCTGTGGGGGGCCAGACTGTGGGATAGATAATGCCCCAGGGTCAATGTACATATTGGCTCAGGCTTGGTGGTCAGTGTGGCTCGTTCTTGTGTTCAGTAGGAGAAATAGTGTCCCATCATTAAATCAGTGGGAGGAATAGGGCCCCATCGTTGGTGTCAGTGGCAGGACTAGTGCCCCATCATTGGTATCAGTGGGAGGAATAGTGCCCCATCATTGGTATCTGGGAGGAATAGTGCCCCATCATTGGTGTCAGTGGAAGCAATAGTGCCCCATCATTGGTAGTAGTGGAGGAATAGTGCCCCATCATTGGTAGTAGTGGAGGAATAGTGCCCCATCATTATTGTCCGTAGGAGGAAAAGTGCCCTGTTATTGGTGTAAGTGGAGGAATAGTGCCCCATCATTGGTGTCAGGAATTGTGCCCCATCATTGGTATCAATGGGATGAATAGTGCCCAATCATTGGTGTCCGTTGGAGGAATAGTGCCCCATCATTGGTATTAGTGGGATGAATAGTGCGCCATCATTGGTGTCAGTGGAAGGAATAGTGCCCCATCATTGGTATTAGTGGGAGGAATAGTGCCCCATCATTGGTGTCAGTGGCAGGACTAATGCCCAATCATTGGTGTCAGTGGCAGGACTAGTGCCCCATCATTGGTGTCCGTGGCAGGACTAGTGCCCCATCATTGGTGTCAGTGGCAGGACTAGTGCCCCATCATTGGTGTCAGTGGCAGGACTAGTGCCCAATCATTGGTATCAGTGGGAGGAATAGTGCCCCATCATTGGTGTCAGTGGGAGGAATAGTGCCCCATCATTGGTGTCAGTGGGAGGAATAGTGCCCCATCATTGGTGTCAGTGGGAGGAATAGTGCCCCATCACTGGTGTCAGTGGGAGGAATAGTGCCCCATCATTGGTGTCAGTGGGAGGAATAGTGCCCCATCATTGGTGTCAGTGGGAGGAATAGTGCCCCATCATTGGTGTCAGTGGGAGGAATAGTGCCCCATCATTGGTATCAGTGGGAGGAATAGTGCCCCATCATTGGTATCAGTGGGAGGAATAGTGCCCCATCATTGGTATCAGTGGGAGGAATAGTGCCCTATCATTGGTGTCAGTGGGAAGAATAGTGCCCCATTATTGCTTTAGTGGGAGGAATAGTGCCCCATCATTGGTATCAGTGAGAGGAATAGTGCCCCATCATTGGTGTCAGTGGGAAGAATAGTGCCCCATTATTGCTTTAGTGGGAGGAATAGTGCCCCATCATTGTTAGTGGGAAGAATAATGCCCCATCATTGGTATCAGTGGGAGGAATAGTGCCCCATCATTGGTGTCAGTGGGAGGAATAGTGCCCCATCATTGGTGTCAGTGGGAGGAATAGTGCCCCATCATTGGTATCAGTGGGAGGAATAGTGTCCCATCATTGGTGTCAGTGGGAGGAATAGTGCCCCATCATTGGTGTCAGTGGGAGGAATAGTGCCCCATCATTGGTGTCAGTGGGAGGAATAGTGCCTCATATCAGTAAGAAGGGCTGGATAAAGGAGTGCAAAGGGCTGCAGTTTGGAGGCCATTGCTGTAGTGGATGCTTTTCAGAGGGCATTTGACAGGCAACCGGTAGGCATTACACCTCTTGCTCACCACCCGTATTAAACCCTCAATGTGCAGTTGTGGTATGGCGCCATTCACTAGGTGAATAGGTCACATTCAGTGAGTGGTGATGCCCACCAGATGCTGCAGGGGGTATATGTCTTGCTGGGAAGCCTCAAAGCCAAGGCTCATGTGCAGCCCCATTTGGCTGCCTGTGAAGTTTAAGTGGGGGCTGTAAAACACAGTTCAGACTCCTGTTTTTACCATCCCTAACCACAACTGCAAACATAGCATATATCTTTTGCCATTTGTCTCGTGTCATGTATGACCCAAACTTGGACCAAATCCAAAGTAAGCTGTCCTCATGTGGCCATATTGGGTCAATGATGTCACCAACATCCTTGCCCATATTCCACCTTGCAAGGGTGTGGACAAAGAATGCAAGCTTGGCTGCCACCTCCTGGTAGTGGAGGAGCCAATGCCATTGTGAACCATGTAGTTGGAAGACGCATCATCCTCCCGCATACCTGTCATACCTGACTTTGGTGTGGGAATTGCTAGTGTAGCGGCCCCCCCCCCCCCCAAGAAGCTGCTGGTGAGCTTGCTTCCTTTCACCCTGTTAAAGAGCAGTTGCCTCCTTCGATATCCACTGGGCACTCTTCAGTGAAGAAGACACAGAGTCACACCACCAAAGGACAGCTGGACACTTCTCACCCAACTTCCTCCAGGCACTTTCCAGTGAGCTTCTCCAGACCCAAAATGATTCCAGGTCTAGGCTTTAAAAATAGGCCTTGCAGCTAAGACTCCAGCTGGGACCTCAATGTCTTCTAGGTGGCACCTAATAATCCTTTTCAGGGGTCTCCTCCTGCAGTACTGGACCCAGGATTTCTCTCACTCTGCTTCTAGTCTTAGTCTATTTAGGGGCTCTCCAGCCACCTACTGGGCACTCCAACCCCCCCGCCCACTCTGTTCCTCCTCCCACTATGATTCTAGAATCCTCGCGTTGCATTTTTAATGCGGTTTTGAGTCACATGTCTTGTAAAAAAGTTGCTGGCTCATAGTCTCCGTTCTAATTCATCCCAAAGGTGTTCTATGGGGTTGAGGTCAGGACTCTGTGCAGGACAGTCAAGTTCCTCCACCCCAAACTGGCTCCTCCACGTCTTTATGGACCTTGCTTGTGCACTGGTGCTCAGTCATGTTGGAACAGGAAGGGGCCATCCCCAAACTCTTCCCACAAAGTTGGGAGCATGAAATTGTCCAAAATGTCTTGGTATGCTGACACCTTAAGAGTTTCCTTCACTAGAAGTAGGGGGCCAACCCCTGAAAAACAGCCCCACACCATAATCCCCCCTCCACCAAACTTTACACTTGGCACAATGCAGTCAGGCAATTACCGTTCTCCTGGCCACTGCCAAACCCAGACACGTCCATCAGATCGCTAGACAGAGAAGTGTGATTGGTCACTAGAGTCCAGTGGCGGTGTGCTTTACACCACGGCATCCGACGATTTGCATTGCACTTGGTGATGGAAGGCTTGGATGCAGCTGCTCAGCCATGGAAGCCCATTCCATGAAGCTCTCTACACACTGTTGTTGGGCTCATCTGAGGCCACACACCAAGTTTGGAGGTCTTTAGCTATTGACTCTGCAGACAGTTGGCGACTTCTGCGCACTGTGTGCTTCAGCATGCGCTGACCCCGCCCTGTCATGTGACGTGGCCTACCACTTGGTGGCTGAGTTGCTGTTGTTCCCAGTGGCTTCCACTTTGTTATAATCCCACTAACAGTTGAGCGTGGAATATTTAGTAGCCAGGAAATGTCACAGATGGACTTATTGCACAGATGACCACCTATCACGGGACCACGCTTGGAGTCACTGATCTCCTGAGAGCGACCCATTCTTTCACCAGTGTTTGTAGAAGCAATCTGCATGTCTAGGGGCTTGATTGTATACACCTGTGTCCATGGAGGGGATTGGAACACCTGAATCCCATGACTGGGAGGGCAGGGCCAATACTTTTGTCAATATAATGTATGTGTAAAGTGCTACGTACATTTTTTGGTGCTATATATGTATCTGTAATAAAATAATAAGAGAATAGTCTGTATTTTCAGTTTTCTGTATGGAAATATCACCAACTCTATATATGTCTAATCATTGTTTTTTATTATGAACTTCTAGGTAAACGTCTTTCTGTCTCCTGAGGAACCAGATTGTGAGTCTATGAAACGCGTCGAGAAGGCTTCCCTCTTTCTACTGCTGGAATCTAGGTTTATGGAATATCATAGTAGGTATATATTGAGTGTAGTTGTGTTGTGGTGGAGCGGGCTTTGTGTAGGGAGAAGATTTGTTGGACGCACTTCAAAATGGTCTGTTAACCTTCAATGGATGTATATTTTTATATTCTATGATTTTTTTTAAGAGTTTTTGATTAATAAAAATATATTTTATGATATTTATTGTCTGTATGGATATGTCACTCTAGCACCTTAAAGGTCCCGTTTGTATCCCATGATGAGACCTAAGTTATAGGACATTTCCAGTATTATTTATTTCAGGTACTTATATAGAGCCATCAATTTACACAGCGCTTTACATATATATTGTACATTCACATCAGTCCCTAACCCTCAAGGAGCGTACAATCTAAGGTCCCTAACTCACATTCTTTGGGAGAGTGCATGTGATCAGCACAGGGCCAATCAGCATTGTCCAGACAGAGGGTTAGGGGTCCTGCAGCCTCAGGACAATCAGAGGATAATGAAGCGTATATAATGAATGCAGGGTCCGGGGAGACCAGATCTAGTGAATGCGGGGTCCGGGGAGACCAGATCTAGTGAATGCAGGGTCCGGGGAGACCGGATCTAGTGAATGCAGGGTCCGGGGAGACCGGATCTAGTGAATGCAGGGTCCGGGGAGACCGGATCTAGTGAATGCAGGGTCCGGGGAGACCGGATCTAGTGAATGCAGGGTCCGGGGAGACCAAATATAGTGAATGCAGGGTGTGGGGGGAGACCGGATATAGTGAATGCAAGGTCTGGGGAGAGCGGATATAGTGAACGCAGGCTGTGGGGAGACTGGATATTGTGAATGCAGGGTCCGGGGGGAGCAGATATAGTGAATGCAGGGTCCGGGAAGAGCGGATATTGTGAATGCAGGGTCCGGGGAGACCAGATATAGTGAATGCAGGGTCCGGGAAGAGCAGATATAGTGAATGCAGGGTCCGGGGAGAGCGGAATATAGTGAATGCAGGGTCTGGGGAGAGCGGATATAGTGAATGCGGGGTCCGGGGAGAGCGGATATAGTGAATGCAGGGTCCGGGGAGAGCAGATATAGTGAATGCAGGGTCCGAGGAGAGCGGAATATAGTGAATGCAGGGTCCGGGGAGAGCGGATATAGTGAATGCAAGGTCTGGGGAGAGCGGATATAGTGAATGCAGGAGTCCAGGGAGAGCGGATATAGTGAATGCGGGTCTGGGGAGAGCGGATATAGTGAATGCGGGGTCTGGGGAGAGCGGATATAGTGAATGCGGGGTCTGGGGAGAGCGGATATAGTGAATGCGGAGTCCGGGGAGAGCGGATATAGTGAATGCGGGGTCCGGGGAGAGCGGATATAGTGAATGCGGGGTCCGGGGAGAGCAGATATAGTGAATGCGGGGTCCGGGGAGAGCGGATATAGTGAATGCGGGGTCCGGGGAGACCGGATATAGTGAATGTGGGGTCCGGGGAGAGCAGATATAGTGAATGCAGGGTCTGGGGAGAGCGGATATAGTGAATGCAGGGTCTGGGGAGAGCGGATATAGTGAATGCAGGGGTCTGGGGAGAGCGGATATAGTGAATGCAAGGTCTGGGGAGACCGGATATAGTGAATGCAGGGTCCGGGGAGACCAGATATAGTGAATGCAAGGTCTGGGGAGAGCCGATATAGTGAATGCAGGGTCCGGGGAGAGCCGGGTCTGGGGAGAGCGGATATAGTGAATGCAGGGTCTGGGGAGAGCAGATATAGTGAATGCAGGGTTCGGGGAGAGCGGATATAGTGAATGCAGGGTCTGGGGAGAGCGGATATAGTGAATGCAGGGTCTGGGGTTTAATAACCCTTTCAAGCAGAGGTATTGAGCCAGTCAACAGTAAATAGCTTCTAACATGCGTAGTACAAGCATAGATCTATACTCAGACAAAAAAAAAAACACATTAAAAAAAAACACTTTTCTATGTTTTCTAAAAAGGAATTAAAAAATAAATGCATCCTTTAAAAAAACAAAACAAAAAGAAACACCCTCCTCAAAAAAAGAAACAGAACAAAAAAATAATGGGCAGACTCGATGGACCACTCGGTCTCTTTTTCTGCTGTCACTTTTCTATGTTTCTGTTTTTTAAAGAGGAATTAACAAATAAATGCATCCTTTAAAAAAACATAGAAAAGTGTTTGTTTTTTATTTGTTTTGTGTTTGTTTTTTCGTTTTTTTTTAAAGGATGCATTTATTTGTTAATTCCTCTTTAAAAAAATCGGAAAGTGTTTGTTTTTTATTTGTTTTAAGAGGAATTAACAAATAAATGCATCCTTTAAAAAAACAAAATAAAAAAAACACCCCCCCTTTAAAAAAAAAAAAAAAAAAACGGGCAGACTGTATGGACCACTCGGTGTTTTCTGCTGTCACTTTTCTATGTTTCTGTTTTTTAACTAGTTGCCGACCGCAGATAGCCGAATGACGGCTGCACTGCGGCCGGCCAGTTCTGAGTGGACGTCATATGACGTCCTCCCAGAACGCGCTCTCCTGCGCGCCCCAGGGGGCGCGCACCCGGCGATCTCCGTGATCGCTGTGTCCTACGGACACAGCTGATCACGTCATGTGGTAAAAGGCCAATCACAGCGGCCTTTTACCACGTGATCAGCGGTGTCCAATGACACGCTGATCAGAGGGAAATGCAAGTGCCGGTTCTCGGCTGCACTTTCCTCATGCTGTCAGATCGTGAGGAAAGTACTGCCGAGAACCGGCAGTTGTCAGAGCGAGGATCGGCACCGATCATCAGGGCACTGATGATCAGTGCCCCGATGATCGGTGCCCAGCAGTGCCACCCGCAAGTTCCGCCCACCTGTGCCCAGCAGTGCGCCCACTAGCTCCGCTCACCTGTGCCCAGCAGTGCACCCACCTGTGCCACTCTGCAGTGTCACACACCTGTGCCCAGAAGTGCCACCTACCTGTGCCCAGCAGTGCCACCCACCTGTGCCCACCCACCTGTGCCCACCAGTGCCACCCACCTGTGCCCACCCACCAGTGCTGCCCACCAGTGCCACCCACCAGTGCAGCCCAGCAGTGCTGCCAGTCAGTGCCCAGGGGTTGTGCCAGTCAGTGCCGCCAGTCAGTGCCCAGCAGTGATGCCAGTCAGTGCCGTCTATCAGTACCCATCATCAGTGTCACCTATTAGTGCCGCCTATCAGTGCTGCATATTAGTGCCGCCTATCCGTGACACCTCATTAGTGCTGTCTATCAGTGCCGCCTATCCATGCCACCTCATTAGTACTGTCTATCAGTGCCGCCTATCCATGCCACCTCATTAGTACTGTCTATCAGTGCCCTTTAGTGCTGCCTATCAGTGCCCATCAGCCGCCTATCAGTGCCCATCAGTGCCGCCTATCAGTGCCCATCAGTGCTGCCTCATCAACGCACATCAGTGAAGGAGAAAAAAAAATACCTGTTTGAAAAATTTTATAATAGAAACAAAGAAACTTTTTTTTTTTTTTTTCAAATTTTTTGCATTTTTTTATTTATAGCGCAAAAAGTAAAGCGCCCAGTGGCGATTAAATACCACCAAAAGAAAGCTCTATTTGTGAGAAAAAAATGATCAAAATTTCATATGGGTACAATGTTGCATGACCGCGCAATTGTCAATCAAAGTGCGGCAGCGCTGAAAGCTGAAAATTGGCCGGTAGGAAGGGATAAGTGCCTGGTAGGCGAGGGGTTAAAGAGGAATTAAAAAATAAATGCATCCTTTAAAAAAACAAAATAAAAAAAATCACCCCTCCCCCTCAAGAGAAAACACACGGGCAGACCCGATGGACCTCTCGGTGTTTTTCTGCCGTCACTCTTCTATGGATGTAATCTTTCTCTCTGATACAATAAAGCCCTTTAATGTTTGTGGGTTCTGTGACATACAATTTCCATAGTAGAAGATCCTGCTGTAATTACAGATCCAACTGGCAGGACCCAGACCAATCCAGCCATTGTATCCTCCTGTACTGTGTATATGGGGGAGGGGTGGGGGTGTACATGGGGGGGGGGGTGTATATGGAACCCGGCCACATTACACATCTCACAGCATTCCAAGAGAACGAACACCGATTTCCTGCGGCTCCAGCACGGGGTGAAAACGCATGATTTATGTGTACAATGGAGAGGTGTGAAGCCGCCCAGTTGGCCCCGTGGCCCTTATCACAACAATAGAACGTTCCTGTACCCCGGGGGCAAATTCACACAAAATCAAAATCTCATTATCGCTTGTTTGCCGCTACATCAACAATGCGTATAACGACGACCGCGGGAAAATCGGGATTTTTTTTTTTTTTTTACAAAATGAAAGTCCTGTAGGCCGGAGTGTGGGTTGGATGTGGTGTGTACATGTGTATGTGTGAAGGTCAACGTGCCGCCATGACCCTCGTGGATAGACGAGAGAAGGGCGTACGTTCACCGACACTGCTGATGAATGAAGGTGTGATCCCGGGAGAGGCTCTCATACACTGCGTGCAGCAAGGGTGGGCGACCTTAAGGGCCGGTTCACACTATAGAAACGCAGTCCAGATGCGTTTTTGATGCGTTTTTGCGCACATTTGACACATCCCAGTGCGTTTTTTTTATGCATTCCAGTTCATTTTTCCACCTTTTTCTTCAATTTAAATAAGGACATGTGCGTTTTTGGTGCGTTTTACCGCGTTCCAGTACAGTTCTATGCAGAAAAAATGCAGCCTGTTCTACTTTTTTTTTGCAACCGGAAGGCACTGGAACTGCAAGCGTTGATGTGAACTATGACACTGACCACCATATCACCTACTTTCTGTGCGTTTTGGATGCAGGAAAAAAGCAAATGAAATGCATGTAGTGTGAGCCGGCCCTGAGGCTCCATTCACACTTCTGCGACTTCAAAATTGTGTGATTTTCATTGTGACTTTGTATGCGTGTGACTGTGGATGAGGTTGACTGTGGATGAGGTTGACTGTGGATGAGGTTGACTGTGGATGAGTGTGACTGTGGATGAGTGTGACTGTGGATGCGTGTGACTGTGGATGCGTGTGACTGTGGATGCGTGTGACTGTGGATGCGTGTGACTGTGGATGCGTGCGACTGTGGATGCGTGTGACTGTGGGTGAGTGCGACTGTGGGTGAGTGCGACTGTGGGTGAGTGCGACTGTGGGTGAGTGCGACTGTGGATGCGTGCGACTGTGGATGCGTGCGACTGTGGGGTGAGTGCGACTGTGGGTGAGTGCGACTGTGTGGTGAGTGCGACTGTGGGTGAGTGCGACTGTGGGTGAGTGCGACTGTGGATGAGTGCGACTGTGGATGCGTGTGACTGTGGGTGAGTGCGACTGTGGATGAGTGTGACTGTGGATGCGTGTGACTGTGGGTGAGTGCGACTGTGTATGCGTGCGACTGTGGGTGAGTGCGACTGTGGGTGAGTGCGACTGGGATGCGTGCGACTGTGGATGAGTGCAACTTTGGATGAGTCCGACTGTGGATGATTGCGACTGACTGTGGATGCGGGTGCGTGCGACTGTGGGTGCGTGCGACTGTGGGTGCGCGCGACTGTGGGTGCGCGCGACTGTGGGTGCGCGCGACTGTGGATGAGCGCGACTGTGGGTGAGCGCGACTGTGGGTGAGCGTGACTGTGGGTGAGCGCGACTGTGGATGACGCGACTGTGGGTGAGTGCGACTGTGGGTGAGTGCGACTGTGGGTGAGTGCGACTGTGGGTGAGTGCGACTGTGGATGAGTGCGACTGTGGGTGAGTGCGACTGTGGATGCGTGTGACTGTGGATGCGTGTGACTGTGGGTGAGTGCGACTGTGTATGCGTGCGACTGTGGGTGAGTGCGACTGTGGGTGAGTGCGACTGGATGCGTGCGACTGTGGATGAGTGCAACTTTGGATGAGTCCGACTGTGGATGATTGCGACTGTGGATGCGGGTGCGTGCGACTGTGGGTGCGTGCGACTGTGGGTGCGCGCGACTGTGGGTGCGCGCGACTGTGGGTGCGTGCGACTGTGGGTGCGTGTGACTGGGGTGCGACTTTGGCTTTGACCAAGGAAGATTGTTTGGGCTGTACAAAGTTGCATACAAGTCGCATGTACTGTAAATCATTCAGG